CATCACCGCCTCCACCCCCGACCGCCGATAGCCCCCTCATCACCATCAGTCACACAATCGTCCCCACCCACCACCATCACCATCTCTAGGAGAAAGAGAAAAAAGAAGGGGGAGAAAGATGAGAAGAAGATTAAGCACAGATCTAACACAAATCTACCGTAGATCCACCACCAACTCAGCTCCCACCACCGATGTTTAGTCTATCATCGCCATGTAGTCCATCCACTGTAACCTCAGCCTCATAGATCTAGCAGAGATATAAAAGAAAAAGAAGAAGAAGAGGGGGGAGAAAGAAAAGAAGGCGTATGAAAAGAAGAGGGGGTGGGGGAGAAAGAAGATGAGGATGAGAAAAAAAAGAAAAAGAAGTGAAAAAGAAGAATCGGAAGAGGAGGAGAAGAAGAATCGGCATAGGAGGAGGAGAAGAAGAGGGGAGTTGGGGAAGCGAGATAGAGATATGGGGGCTTTGGCCGAGAAAAAGGGGAGAGAAAGCAAAAAAAGAAATTGAGATTTAACAAGAGGGGTCGTTTAGGAAGAATTGGGATGAAAAGGTAGAGTAGGAAGATTTTTTCGGACGGGAAAAAAGGTAGAGTAGGAAGATTATTCTTGGACGGAGGGAGTAGTATTTATTCATACATTTCTCAACTTAATGATACACAATGAGTCAATGCCTCTACGTATGTTGAGACTGAAACCTAAGTGAACTTTCCCAAATTGACTCCAAGTATTATGTGTTGCACGATGGCAAGTGCATGTGTTAACACCCTACACTAGACCATTAGTTGTTAATTCAAAGATATCATGATTTTATGATATTGTTATTGTGTTGAATATGTAATACTCTATACATGTATAGTGAATATATCGTTAATGAATAATGAAATTATTGTTGTGATTATGCTATATGAGATGACAATGTTAAAGAGCATCCCACATCGAAGAAGTGAGAAGAAAATAATTGGTATATAAGCTCTTAAGTTAAACTAAATATTCAATTGAATTCAATCTTTTAATGTGGTTCAACTCAAGTGTCTTATGGTCTAAACGAGTTATCTCTACCTCATTCTAAATTCTATCATGATATCGAAGCTAACGTTCTAAAAAACATAGCCTTTCTTTTTTCCAGCCAAGCATATCGCTGGCCTCTATTCATGGTGAATGACCGTCAGACAACATTGCGTCACCGACTGATCTCGACGAGGGTGCTAACAACTGCCGTACATTATCCCTCTCTTTCTCTCCAAAAAAATTCATGATCTCTCTCTCCCCGCAAAAAATCATGTGTGTGATCGAAGAAAGGAAAGTTCCACTTGTCTGTGTTTTGTTCTAGAGATCGAGAGTATAGAAAGCGACAAAGAAGTAGAGAACACAAAGAGAAAAAAGAAACTATTCACCCTCCCTCCAATCACCAACACTCTCACCACAAAAAAAAACTTAGCAAACGTAATCTCAAACTCATTTGTTATGTAACGAAGACTTGGCTCTCTATTTCCAGAGGTTATCCTCACAAAACTGCTTCTGCTGACTCAATTCCAATACTTGTGCTCCAAGCTACTCCTCATTATCGATTGATGGGTATAACTTTTACCCAACCCAGAAAGTGACCAGTTTGGTCATGACTGGTCACGAACGCATAATGTTGGGGAAGATGTTGGAACCATTGGAAAAAGTAATCGGTCATATCCTCTTTGGGAAGTGAGGAGTCATATTTTTAGCATGACCCTAAGCCCGGTTGAACCTCTATGACGACGGACTAGATGAGATGACGCAAAGAGGGAGCGTGTATGACCCAACTACTCCAACCCTGCCATCTTCGGGAGTTAATTGCGGAGCGAAGATTTCATCCCATCATCCCGGATCTACACAACGTGATTGATGGCTAGATTAATGCTCATTAATGATTAAATTAATGAGCGACGGGTCAAGAGGTTATTTTTAAGTATGGGTGTGAACTAGTGCTAGGCTTGCGGCTGAATAGCAACTAATTACATTATTTGATCTCCTCCACTCTATATAAAAATGTTATAATAGAGGGAGGAGGGGACATTCACTTCCACTCATACAAACTTGTACATTCTTGAGATAGAGCAAGAAATATAAATTCGGGCACGCGAATTCTTTCCTGGTCTATGTCAAGAGTCCGTTTGACCAAGTCAGACCCGATCAAATTTACACCATCACCGACGATTAGCTTGCGGGGATGTTAGAAATAATTGATGTATTGAGAAATAGATTATTTTAATATTTATTACCTTCCTTAATCTATTGTTTCCTTATTTTGTTGTCCCGACATGGGTCGAGACTTGTCGATGATTGCTTAGTAGCACCAAGTGGGAGAGAAAAAAACCGCGGTTAAGATTGCGAAGTGGTTGACATAAAAACTCTAAATTGCAAAGGTTTTTGTCAACTTCTTGTGACTTTCTGGATGAAGTAAATTGTGGTTGACTGGGGGATTTATTGTAGACGAAAATAGGGAGAAATTAGGATCGAAGGAAGGAGGAAAAAATGGGAGTGAGGTCGCCATCAACGGATAAACAGCCAGCGACGACGGCAACATGAGCAAAAATTATTAGGTCACCAAGAGCGAAGGTTCTGATACCATGTTGGAATAATAATATTGTTCATTGAATTATGGAGTACATGTTATATATATATATAGGAGAATCTTAATACAACCAGAAAAAGAGAGTGTAAACTAAATAAAACACATCTACTACATATAAGAATATTTAATAAGACCAATTGTTATTAAATTGTATCATGCTATCGGAGCAACTTATAACTCACCTCGTTTGTCAAGGTGTCCGTCTCGGAGTTCATTCTTAGGAGCCAATTGTGTACTCCCTAGGAACAGCCTAGAGGCCAACCGTGGGGTGCTGTACCTGGGAAGATCAACCAACTAATAGCTCTGAACACAAAGCTAACCAGATTCACGCAATCAACTTAATCCAAAATCTGATACTGAGCGAGAACAATGAAATCGAACAGCAACCGAAGTTTAAACACAAATTCAATGCACAATTACTCGGATAACAACTTCAAACCTTGAATATTGCGAACAAACCAAAACAGAAATTGAGTTTAGAGATTGTAACCGAGTGACCTGAGCGCAAATGAACTAGATTGAGATCCGGCATGTGCAGAGCCTGGTTGCGGCGGTGCTTCGTGGCGAGTGTGCCTGTGTTCCTTCGCCGGAGATGGTGGTCAGAGAAGGGGATTCCCGACGGGAAACCCTTCGTCTCGCACCACTCACTCTCGCGCTCTCCCTTCGCTCTGGTCTGCGATCGATCCTCTCTCTGCGTCTAAAAGTTCGCCTGAAACGCCGACGACCTTCTCTCTCGCTCCCTCCGCTCTTCTGGTTCGTCAAAACAATGACGGCGGCCTGGACCAGGCCAACGCGTCCTCTTATTTTTCTGAAAAGGGACGGGCAGACGGTCCATTTATTTGGGTCTGCCATTTGACTGGGCCCGATTCTAATTTTAACACAAATATAACTAAAATTGGTCCAATACTTAAGCACAAGCCAAAATTAATCTATTAACACAATTAGGGTCCACTTTTTAAGATTGGGAAAAAGAAATTGGATGTTGGAAAAAACTAGAAAAAAAATGGAAGAAATTGGAAAATCTAAAAAAAATTAAAAATTTATTTAAGTTTATTTTTTGCATTATTCTCATTCTAATTGTTGTTGTTATAGTTTATTATTATTATTATATTCATAATCATGTTAACTTAATCAATGTATTTAAAATAAATAAACTATTGTCATTGTTTATACAAAAAAAGCTACTTTCGAACATATTTTTTAAATCCAAATATAAAATTAGCATAAATATTAAAATGTTAAATTTTAAAAAGTTATTATGAATGCGTTGTTGTACCTCAATGTTAAACAGTTGTAATAATAATACTAATAATAATCATCATCATCATCACATTAAAAAATACATCATTTTTAGAGTAATTGTTTGGAGAATAGAAAGAGTGAAGAAAGTGAGAATAGTTAGGAAAAACTGGAAGAAACTAGAATAATATGGAATAAATTATAATGCACTCAAAGTTAGGGGTTTAAGCTCTAAAGAACAATCTCGTAATTTAGTTTTGAAGCAAATAAACACAAACAATGTCCAAAAGGCTAGTAAATGTAAGGGAAAATGAGACTAAAAATAAACCTAACATGTGCACTTGATGGGAAGTGTTAAATAGCATCTCACATCAAAAGTGAGAAGAAAATAATGAGTATATAAACTCTTGAGTTGAATTAAATAATCGATTGGATTTAATTTTTTATTATGGTTCAACTCCAATATTTTATAATCCAAACCAGTGATCTCTACCCTATTTCAAATTCTATCAACAACTTGAAGAAACTTTAGCTTGACCTAGATGACCCCATGGGTGTAGTGATGACCTAACAGAGGTGACTTAGAGATAAAATTCTCACTTCTAGTTTTTTTTCAATTTCTTATAATTTTTCTAATTCTTTTCAGTTTCTTCTAATTTTTTCAACTATTTCCATTTTATTCAATCTTTTTCTACTTTCCAAATAATGACTCTAAAAAAAATGTGTTTTTCATCTATTAATATTATTACTATTACTATTATTGTTATTATTCTAATTACTCGTTTCATTATTATAATTAATATTATCATTACTATTAATACATTCATAACTATAGTTTATTTTTTTAATTTTTATTTTCCCCCATGTCAATTTTTTTGTTTGCATACTCATTATTTTTTTATTCCATTTTAATATATATAATACGAAATATAGTTTTATTGGGAAAATTACTTTTTTATTAATTTATATGACACTAAAGATATTCTAAAAATTAAATATTCTATTAATATAAATTGACGTGGAAAAAACATCAATAATTAAATGACATGTATACTATTCACACTGTGTAATTTTATTGACTTTATTTAGCTATTATATATCATGATATATGATTGTTATAATAATAATAATAATAATAATAATAATAATAATAATAATAATAATAAAAACAAGTCAACAATAAAGAACAATTATAATAAGAATAATATGTAAAACACATTAAAATAACTTTTTGAAGTTTCTTTTTGTTTTTTCCAATATCTTCTAGTCCTTTTCAGTTGTTCTATATTTTTTTTTCAATTTTTTCAATTTTTTTTAGTTTATTCGAACATTTAATTCTTTTTTTCTAGACCTGAAGACCATGCTATATGCAGATTAAAAAAATTGGTTAATTAGGCAACCTATGGGTGAAGTTGTAAATATAAAATTTATTTAGATAAAGAAAAATAATTAGTTATATTTGAAAATAATTTCTTACGTGAATTTTTTTCTTTAAAATAAAGAAAATTGATTTACCTTATTATTGGAAAAATAAAAACGGTAGCTTCAGAATCCGAAGATTAGAAAAAGCATCGTTTCTCTCACCTCTATCTGCCGTCTCATTCTTTTTTGCTCACCATTTCTCTCCACAGATCTCTAAATTTGAAACCCTAATCTATCCGTATATAAATACTCGGCAATTCAATTACAGAGTATTTTTCAATACCCATACACGGATACAAACTACGCGTATCGACGGCGATCGGGAACCGGCGGCTGATTCTTGGTTGACGGAAGATGAATCCGGTGGAGCTGTGAATCAATTACGGCCGATAGAGCCCTAAAGCGGATTTGGACGGCAGCCGTCTGTAGGAAGAACTGTAACTGTAGTAATTGTACGATTGTTTAGGCTCAAGATAGTGCAGTGGTAGATAAAGATGGATGCGAGGAAAGGGGGAAGAATGCTGTGAAGAAAACGACATCGTTTTGGGGAGAGATTCGGACAGGACAAGGTAGGGGGTTGAAGGAAGTGAAGGAAGCTGTTGGGTATTAGGCAATGGACGAGTACGACAGCGGAGGGAGAAGCGGGGATAAGGGTTTGGGCCCTGAGGAGGAAGGGAACACTGCTCCCCTTCCAGAAAGGGTATAACTATTAGCCTATCACTCACCCTTTTTGAGTTTGATTTAAATATTTTAAAGAACTCGTTTTTATTTTAATTTGCAGTTTGATTTATTTTGGGTTTGTCTAAGAGTTTTGTGGGGAATTTAAGAAATGAAATTTTTTCTGTGTGGTCTTAAACGTTTATTCTTTTGCACAGTTTTTTTTTGTATCATCTTAAAAGTTAATTCTTTTACATGCATGGACCCCTGGTTGATGATTTGTCCTGTGTGCTTTGAAGAACATAGTTTGCTTTATTCTTCGATAATTGGCAATCAAGTTATTTGATGAAGTAAATGTGCTCATATCGCTATTTGATTGCTAATTCATTTGCTTTTACACAAAACAGGTCCAGGTTGGTGGATCTCCTGTATATAGGATTGATAAGAAGCTTGGGAAAGGAGGATTCGGTCAAGTTTATGTTGGTCGTCGAATTAATCCTCCAAATCCACCTGAAAGAACTGGTTCAGGAGCTGTAGAGGTATGATACTACACATATATTTGCTTCCCTAGCTAACAATTCAGGAGATGTGGGTTTCATTTTTTAATGTCTTAACTCCATTGTTTAGGTAGCCTTAAAATTTGAGCATAGAAGCAGCAAAGGTTGTAACTATGGTCCGCCATATGAGTGGCAAGTCTACACGTAAGTATGAATACTCCTCTCTGGTTATTGGTAATGCATTACAGCATTAGTCCTCAAATTGACATCTGGTACTGTTTTTCAGCGCCCTTGGCGGTAGTCACGGCATACCACGTGTTCATTATAAAGGCCGCCAAGGTGATTACTACATTATGGTATGTAAAATATTTGAATGTATGCAGAATTTGTATTATGTTTATTTTTTAGTGTTTGAACATCACATATTCTCGTTAATTTCAGGTTATGGATATGCTTGGTCCTAGTTTATGGGACGTTTGGAACAACAATTCTCACACGTAATGCCCCTTTAAGGAAATCTCAGAAAAACTTGTACATGCATTTTGTTTATTTTTCCAACTCCACTCATTGATTACATATTTACATGTTTCTTCCCTTAAATCAGGATGTCAATTGAAATGGTAGCTTGTATTGCCATTGAAGCAATCTCAATACTAGAGAAGTTGCACTCTCGAGGGTAAGTTTTTTCCTTTGAAATTGCTGTTCTTCTAGGAAATTTGTGAAACTCTATGTTTATTACCTTATACTGTTTGAGTGCAACTTTCTTTGTTGCATCTTTTTGCCCCAAAAGGGCAGAAACTGGGTCAACCTGTAAAAGAAGTCCCCTTTGTAGGATCTTCAACTTGTATTTTCATAAATGCCTTTCTTTGAATAAGCCATTGCCTTGGCCACATTCCCCATCTCAAATGATTGCATTTTCCTCTTTCGGAATAGTATAGGCTTCAGTGTATAACTGGCTGCTCTAAATGTCTGCAGATATGTGCATGGGGATGTTAAACCCGAGAACTTTCTTCTTGGAACTCCTGGAACACCCGATGAGAAAAAGTTGTTTCTTGTTGATCTTGGTTTGGGTAAGATTTGAAATCATATCAGAGGTAGTCTAGAAATCAGCAATTGTTTTGGGCTTTTGATGTAATGCCAATCTTTTGTGCCATTTTCCTTTTGCTTCACTTCAGCTACAAAGTGGCGTGATACTTCAACTGGCCTACATGTTGACTATGATCAACGCCCTGATGTTTTCAGGTATCTGAATGAATCATTGTCCTTTGCTCTCTATTTTCCAACGATCAATTCATCTAACCCATGTACTGAAAAAATGGCATCATTGCTTCAGAGGGACAGTTCGTTATGCAAGTGTTCATGCTCATCTTGGAAGGACTGGTAGCCGAAGAGATGATCTAGAATCTCTTGCTTATACACTCATCTTCCTTCTTCGAGGCCGGCTTCCTTGGCAGGGCTATCAGGTTTACATTTTTTTTACTTTGAAGGAGTTATATCTGTACAAAACTCTTTTCTTAACATTCAACCTGGACAAATGCGGATCAGGTTTACATTTTTTTTACTTTGAAGGAGTTTTATCTGTACAAAACGCTTTTCTTAACATTCAACCTGGACAAATGCATTAGGGTGAGAACAAAGGGTTCCTCGTCTGCAAGAAGAAAATGGCAACATCACCAGATGCGCTCTGCTGCTTCTGCCCTGCTCCTTTTAGGCAGTTTGTTGATTATGTTGTGAATTTAAAATTTGATGAGGAGCCGAACTATGCCAAGTATATATCTCTCTTTGATGGAATAGTTGGTCCAAATCCAGACATCAGACCACTCAACACAGATGGTGCTCAAAAGGTATGTTTTTGTACATATTTTTTTTTGGATATATCTGCTGCACTTAACCTGCAAATACTCTCTGTTACCCATATTGTTGCTGACATTTGTTTCCCTCGGAATATGTCTATGAAGCTTATTTGTCAAGTTGGACAAAAGAGAGGACGATTGACAATGGAAGAAGATGATGATGAACAACCAAAAAAGAAGGTGCGCATGGGAATGCCTGCAACGCAATGGATCAGTGTTTACAATGCTCGCCGCCCAATGAAGCAAAGGTACACACTCTTTGTTGTACCATCTATAGCAGAACAATGCACTGATGAAAATCATTTTGGGATTGCAGGTATCATTACAATGTTGCAGATATAAGGCTTTCTCAACACATAATTAAAGGAAATGAGGATGGGCTTTATATTAGCAGTGTCGCATCTTGTACAAATCTGTGGGCCTTAATTATGGATGCGGGAACCGGGTTCACTGCCCAAGTTTATGAGCTATCACCAAATTTCCTTCACAAGGTCTTTATCTTTTGAAAATTTAATGCAACTTCCTCGCATAAGATTTATGCATTCCTTATTTTGTGTTATACCAAAAGACTTGGGTTTTAAAGGCAGTGCAACACATCTAGGCGTTAGGCGTATTAGGTTCCTAGGTCTGAGGCACGAGCCTCATCAAATTTAGGCACCACTCTTTTGCAAAATGGATCTATGTAGCTGTTACATGGTATGCTTTAATCATCTCGTAATCAAACATAATAAAATCATAAACAGCCAAATTAAATAAAATCTTTCCATGAAACATTAAAACAGGCAAAACATCAATTCAAAATTCAAAGTTAACCCATATAGCATACTGAAAATAGAAGTGTACAGGCAGTAGTAACAGTAAGTTTGATAGATAACTAGATAAGAAAAAGTAATGCTCCATCAAAAGAAGTAGCTATTGCCTATCAGCAACTAGAAAGGGAAAGAAAAACAGATCATTGAGGCGGAAGAGGAAAACAAAAAGAAACAGAAGTGTATGAAGAAATAGATCACCTATCAGAAGGAGCTATCACCCATCAGTGCAGATCGTGGATGAAGAGAGAAGCAAGAAGATGAATAGAAAAATATATTGTAGATGAAAGAGGAGAAGCAAAAAGAGAGGAAGAGAAAAATCAGATCGCAGAGGAAAGAGGTGAAACAAGAAGAGAGGAAGAGAAAAAATAGATCATATAGGAAAGATGAGAATGAATCAGAATATCATCCCCTAGAATGTAGAAATCTGATGAGCCTGGGTTTGCTGAACCAAAAATTATTTTGCCTGCATGTGTGTTCCTGTCCTCAGGCGTGGGTTCTAAACTAAGCATAAGATTCATTGCACATTATTTAAAACAAAGTCTCCTTGCTAATATCTGTCTGTGATGCAGGAATGGATTATGGAGCACTGGGAGAAAAATTATTATATCAGTGCAATAGCAGGAGCTAACAATGGGAGCTCTGTAGTAGTGATGTCAAAGGGTTAGTTGATTGGCCTTGACCTCTCTTTACACATTACTGGCTTCAGTAAAACTAATAATTTTCTTCTTCAATTGTTAGGTACCCAGTATGTGCAACAATCGTACAAAGTTAGCGAATCGTTTCCTTTTAAGTGGATTAACAAAAAATGGAGGGAGGGTTTCTATGTGACAGCCATGGCTACAGCTGGGAGTAGATGGGCAATTGTAATGTCTCGTGGAGCTGGGTTTTCTGATCAGGTTTGCTGGGTTACATGAATCTTGCATTATGTGATGCATTGCGCGCTCATGCATCTTTAACCTCATTTGTTTACTAGTATTATTCATGGTGCCAATTTGTCGTAAAATGGAGATTTTGCCTTCGGAACAGGTTGTAGAGTTAGATTTCCTTTATCCTAGTGAAGGGATTCATAGGAGGTGGGATGGTGGTTATCGCATCACATCAACTGCAGCAACATGGGATCAAGCTGCTTTCGTTCTTAGTGTTCCAAGAAGGAAACCTGTTGATGAAACCCAAGAGACACTTCGAACATCTGCTTTCCCCAGCTCACATGTTAAGGTTAATTGTTATATCTACCTGCATAATAATGCACACATATATGTATATGTGCGTGTAAACACACACATACATATACTTCCTTTCTTCACACCTTACGCCCACACCATTTTTCTCTTTACATGTTGTAATCGTGCACATATGATTTGCCAAACTCTGCAGGATAAATGGGCAAAGAACCTTTACATTGCATCTGTCTGTTATGGGCGAACTGTGTCATGAAGCACACCGTAGTTTTGCTTTATCTCATGGACAGATGTAAGCTGTTAGCCATTGACATGTATGTGCTTAATAATGCATGATCCTCCTCAACTGTCTCGGCTAACCCCGTCAATCTTTGGAGAGTTGCACTGATTTCTTAATGGCACATGTGATTACTACCATTTTGTTGATGTACCGGAAAGTATATTGTGGCTGTTTAGAGGTGGGTGTTTGGGGTGGGGGGGGGGGTCCTTTTGACTGGTGTCTGTATAGTTTGAACAATAATTACAATTGAAATGCAAGCAGAATAGGTGACCATTGATGGTTTTGTGAACCATGCAATTTGTGGTTTCTCCACAAGTATGGTTTATAGATACTGTGTGCTGGGTATATCTTGGTCCCTATTATTCTATGGATTGTTTGGAATCGTGTATAAACCTGGCTGCATATTATGAATGCATTTCATAACACTAAATGTAATACAACTAATTGCTCTACTATCTCCAAGTTTGTTGTTCCATTTTTACTAGAGGGGACTAACATGTTGGAGTTATTTCGGGTTTGGGTCAATTTAGATCTGGGTTGGAAAAATTTGTTCATGATTCAATGTCATCGGTTTTTTGTTGACTTAATGGGTTTTGGGTGTTTTAACTCTTTTTATACCAAAATATGGAGTAAAAGTTTAGCCCATTATTTATTTTTGTTATTTATTTGATAAAATGATAGACATGTCACCTTTTTTGAGCACTCCATCTATTTCAAATTAGATTGTATGGAGTACTTTGTATGTTGTTTGCCATGTTTGATATTGTAGAAGTTATTTTAAATTTTAATTAACTAAAAATTAGTGAAATTTAATACTTCCCCGTCTATAAAAAATGGCCTATTTATTGTTTTAGACTTTTGTCATTTTTTTTCATTAATGTATTTTTTATTATACAATAAAATAAAATAGTCATGTCACAATTTTTTTAAATTATCATTCAATATTTATTTTATAAAGCTTTTGATGTTTGTAATTTAAAAATAGTATCTCTGATTTAGAGTATTTGATAAATTTTGATTTTTATAGTCAAAATTGACAAGTTTTGAATATTATTAAACACAATTGATATTAGATATTGAGTATAAAATAATTGTTTTTGATTTATTTTATAAAATATTTTTAAAATAATATCATATGTAGTAAATGCTTGCTTCATCCTTCATAAATCTTTCCAAATATTATTTAAAACGTCAAATTCAACTTACTTTGTTTACTTATTTTTATTCTTCATTTAGTACTGTAAAATAATAATATAGACTTCTCACTTCTTATTTTACACTAGAATTTTTCATTAGTTTTTTAGTACTCCAATAAATTAAACTTAAGTTAGAGTCGATCAAGCATTGTAACGCGTAATGAGAAACTCTATGAAAGACAAATAGAGTCCTAAAATTTTTATTGGAAAAAACTTTTCTGAAATTGATTATAATCATTTTTGGAACTTACTTCTCAATAAAATTATAATCTAGCTTGAGACGGAATGGTTATTTAAACATGCTACTTTAGTCTTCAAGTTTATTAATTGCTCGTGGGGAAATGACAGCTGTTTCTATTGGAAAAAACTTTTCTTGTTTCACGACCCAGCAGTAGGTGTGAATATTTTAAAATATAATTAGTCAAATATTTGACACGCTAACCAAAAGGGATTGTTAACTAAGAACATCATATTGACAGCCTTTTTTTAGTGTCGTAGGGGAATTGAATGGGAATATACCTTTGTGAATTATAGAGTGTATGAGGCGTGGAGTTTTTTTCCACTATATTATGGAATATTAAAATCAAATACATTTAAGAGCGAGAGAGGACAAGAAAGGCATGTTAATATATGTAGCAAACATCCCCGGTAGAAAAAGCACGTCATGAAATGTCCCTACACATTCCTAACTTCCATTATTGACACCCACTGTTGTTTTGTTGGGATGGAGAAAACTACAATCCCAAAACACAACTCCATCGTCTTATGGTTGATATGTAGAGGGAAGCTTCAATCAAAATGCATGTTGGTCAGGTTTTTATCTATTGATACTTTATGTCAACTATGTTTGAAAGATCAGAAGGATATTCAACATCTCTTGTGTAGATGTGAATATGCAAAGGAGATGCACAACAAGCTTCTGCCTTGGTGTGAGTATAATTTTACAGGTCCTAGCCTTGAAGAATTGATGAGGAAATGTTTGAAGATACAACCACTAAAGAAAAGAAGGAGAATAATATACTCCTTCCGTTCCTAAATAGATTACAATTTTTTTCTCTCTCTCCTCTCGATAACTTTTGTTTGTTTACGCGATTTCATTAAGTATTTGATAAAATAAAATATTCTTGTCACCTCTTGTTTTGTACTAGTAGAACTTTTGACGTAGTTTTTTAATATGTAATTTTTATATCTTATTGATATACCAATTTGTAAATATAATGATTTCAAAAAATAGAGAATTTTACTCCGTAACCCGCAATTTGTAATCAAATTGGAGAAATTAAAATTTTACTCCGTAACCCATAATAAAAAAATATTCCAAGAGAAATATAAGAGAACGGATGGTGTGATCCAAGAGATAATATACCAAGTGGGTGTATAAATGTATATTCGGAGCTGTTGTATTTTGTTTTTGTGATACGTTTCGTTGTGGTGTTGGAATATATTTGCTTTCGGTTCAAAAAAAGAAGTCAAAACTGAATATATATTCAGAAAAGAAATACCCCCTCCATCCATAAATAAACTTTACGTTACGCGTTACGATGTTTGATTGAAGTTATTTTTAAATTATTTTATATGAAAAATGGTGTGAAATTTTAAAATAAAAATTACAGAGTATATATTAAAAAACTATATCAAAAGATCTACAAAATTAGAGGTGACATGACTATATTATTTTATCAAATGGGTAACGAAAATAGGCCAACAAAGTGAATAAAGTTTGACCCTGTGAATAGTGAACGTAAAGTTTATTTGTGGACGGAGGGAGTAGTAAGTAATATTTTTTTTATTTTATACCAAATCATAAATACAATTATTTTGAAAGAAATGACATTCGAAAATGGGTAACTTTTGAGGGATGAAGGGAGTAGCAAAATTCAAGGGGTATATCTAAAATTACTGCGTTTAAAAATTTTTAAACACTAGAAAAAGTTCTAAAAAACAAAAATGATATAATTATTTTTTTAATGGTTGAATAATAAAAATATGTACGAAAAATTGTTAAAATAATTTGACCATGTGAACAATGAACAAGTAATTTGACCATAGAATATATCTTTTGATGCAAGTTTGATATAAATTAAATTAAGACTATCAATCTACGTACACGGAATTGATATCATTCATTTCATCATTTGTGACGAAGAAAATAATACCAGTATTTAGATTTGTGATAGCACTTAAATTTTGTATTAAAATGTAAATATATTCTCTTTAATAAAAATAAAAATAAACATAAAAAACTTAATTGAAAAAAATTAAAAGATTGAATTCAATTGATTACCTACTTCAACTCAAACATTTATATATCTACTATTTTCTTCAAAATTTCGATGTGGGAAATTTTAATGCTTCTCCTCTAGTGGACAATAGAATAGATTTGAATTTTATCGATTGTCCACTTACAAATAGATTCAAAATTCCCATAAAATGAATGTTTAAGCAGCAACATCTAAAGGACTCTGAATTGCTGGGTATGGACTTCCATACAGACAACCAAGCTAAAAATAAGGTACGCTAAAAATTAACTGAATTTATGGACAGACACATTGACAAATGAAATGAGCCAAAAACCTACTTTGAAGTCATGATACGGAGTAGAATTTAAGAACTAGGTTTGATGCGCCATAAGTGCATTTGCAATGGTTGGGGGGGGGGGGGGGCA